TATATATATATATATATATATATATACTCCAGAATAATGTGTTATAAATACACACTAGCACTCTTCCCCGATTGTATGTAGATGCTCTGCCGTGATCAGTGCTACCCCCCACTTCCCATCACCCCCGGATCAAAGAAGCATGAATATTAATCAGAGGTAATAGGCCTACATGTTGATATAGGAAGAGATCAGGGGCGTGCGGGCAGGGGAGGCAGAGCCTCACCTGTCGTGAAAAGTATTTTATCATGATAAAATAATAATATGTATCTACTGATCTGTGTTATAAATGTAATTTCTGTATAATTTCAATAATTTTAAGCATTTTTAGAGTCAAAATCGCTGAATTTGCGCATGTCCTGTTCAAACAGAGAGACACGCGAGGTGAGGCAGCGATGAGATCTGCCTCACCTCAGATTGCGCAATACCTAACAAACTGGGTTGAGCGCGTGGCTTTTGCTTTCTCATTGTTTGTCACCAGTGTAATATTTGTAGACGCTTGTATTATATGTCCTTTCTTTCCACAGAACAGGTCATGTATTTCACGTATGTGTAGAATATATCTAGTCTTGCTGATTTGACAGAAACCGCAGTGAAAAAGCACAGAGGCACACAGTACCTCTGCCTCAATGAAGGGGGCGTGCGAGAGCCCACGGGTTGGGGTTATGCTTGTAGTTCCGTTTCTCTTCTTCTTATATTTTGCTTTGACCGCAAACATTTAAGATTAAATATCTAAGCTTAAACAATTCTCAAAAAACAGGGAAATATGACCAAATCAACAGCAATTCAACGGCGGACAGGTCAAGTAAACTTTTATGTGTTTGTTCTCTTTATAAATACGTGGTTGTTGCACAGATTATCGCGGGATCTCGCGAATCTCCGCGAGCGCTCCGCTTCTGAAACAGGTTGGTGGGGCAGGTCGCAGATCGCGGCACACACGCTCCTGGTGCATTCACATATGTACCTTACCTATGTGTGTGTGTAAAGAATGCTGATATGAAAAACAACCAGTAGTCAATGTGCAAGCTGCCAATTGAATGGTGATTTAAGATTCTCTATATCGGGTTCATATATTTGTAAATCTGACTCTGAAAGAGTCAGTGCCTCACCAACCACGAACCTCACCGCACGTCACTGGAAGAGATGTATGTCCTCGGTGTGTGCTCTGCTTCGGGCTTAATCGCGTTGGTAGCATAAAAGCTTCACTTGTGAAATTTCATAAAACATCAATAGTTCATTATTCTACTTTAAAATACTGGTGATCCAGTCTGTGAAAGAATTAGGCTTTTATTTTGTTAAGTGAAGAGTTAAATCGCCTTCAGCTAATATGACTAACAACACTTCAATTAGTTGGAATCTATGTGTGCTCTATGAGATGCCACTCTTACTTAGATCTCACTCCCTCATTCCAAACAGTGTGACTAATGCGGAGCTATTATTACACTCACTAACACCTAGCATACATTAGACGAGAGTAAAACTGCATACCCAGTTGCACAAGATGTGGGATAAAGTTGAAATCAAGCGGAACAGCAGCGGCATTGACGGGCCGAAGGCAGGCGATGTGACAAACAACATATTTGGAACAGAGCACCATTGTTTGACCCAGCGGCCCGGTCGAGCGCCTCCACAACGGAGTCTCTTTTGTTGAGATCTCAGCTGCGGGCACATTTGCAGCACTCAGCAGCATCACATTTTGTCATGAGTTTAAAGGGGTACAGGGACAGAGAGCACATGGACAGGTCTCTGTTGTGACATGGATGATTAGTAATAAAGGGAAGAGTCATGCTTCCCTAAAGCATCAATGAGTCATTGTAGACCATATGAACAGTGTGGAGGATGGTAGAGTATTTATATCAATGTGCATACTGTATGTACCCTCATTATTAAATAATTATTTTGATGCGCAACATGTCACCAGAGAAATGCAACAGGTTTTTGGGGATTGTCCCGTGTGTTAATTCAACCCTTAAAGCTACTATGAGAAACCTATTGTGTGTTGATTTTGGCGGTCCCTGTGGATAGAAACGGTAGTGTTTACAAGAACCAGATGCCCTTTAAAAAAAAACAACTAATTTTACAGCAGCAGGGTCTGACAGTCGGCCCTTCTCAGTCTTGATTCTGGTTCTCCCGTGCCTCCCTTCCCTCCAGCGGTTCCAGCAATACGGCCCGGGTCTCCAGCAGCGTGTTGTTGGCCCTCAGCGGGGACCAGCGGAGTAGCGAGGAGAAGCTCTGCTCCTGGCCAGAGGAGGAGACGCTGCTGACCTCTCCACCTCCCGCCAGAGCTCTGACTGCAGGTCCGCTGGAGTCTGACCTGAAGGAGTTTCTGGTGAACCTCCGTGATTGATTTCGACCCGGTGGCACTGCTTACAATCATCAAGAATAACTATATAGAAGTAGCCAATCTTCTCGCTGATGGTCTTGTTTACTTACTAACGTCATAAAGTGGCATCAGTATCAAACTGAGACAAGAACTTTCTCCCAGTAACTTTAAGTCGTGAGAAAACTAAACTAAAATAAAAGATGATTCATATGTAATGCCCGAAACAATAACACATTCAGGGTGCCAGCATTTACTCTTGACTTCCATTCATTATTTATACTGTGGAGTTTCTGCTTTGAAACTCACGTCGTCAGTATGTTCTTGCACCATCGTCACCTCGAGAATGCAGCACACTCACCAGCAAATATTTCTCAAGTGACACTTTTCTTCTGTCGTCACAAAAAAATAAAAAAAACCTTTGTGCTTTGTGAAACTCTGTTTTATTGCCTTCAAATCAAATTCCTGAACACTTGTTGTTCTCGTGGAAGTTATTCTGACTCTGATGTAAAGATTGCATGAGACACACGACTGTACAGAATCAGTGCAGTTGCCATGAAGCAGCGACTGATGTTTGGGGCAATGCATGTGGGATGCTGGCCTGCCTTTGACAGGATGAATCCATAGCAACAAAATAATGAGCATAAATCGAGCCTTGTGTTTATTTGTATGCGTCTGACGGCTTTGTCTACTTGAGAATGTGTTTGTTTGATTAATTGGGTAAATGCCTATTAAGAAGTAAATGTTGTGCAGAAACATTCATTTTACAACATATAAGAATGACACAATGTAAGTTATCATATGTTACAAACATATGTTTTTAATAATCTATGCAAATACTCATTTATGTTGCTTACATATTGTTTATTATTTAAATACAAGCAGACCTTCGCACAGCATCCAAAACCATGATTGTAATATTTATACCACAGCCGAAAACGACGTACTCGGCCAGAGTTCTTTTGTGAAAGTGTAACCACAGAAAATATCAGAGATCAAGCAGAGAAAACAAAACCGTTGCTGTTTCTCATCCAACACTCACACACACACACACACACACACACACACACACACACCACACACACACACACACACACACACACAGTTTAAAATCCTGCATTTGGAAGCCATGCTGAAAAATGGTCACTCACTTTTAATTAGCTGTCCTAAAATTCTTTGCACAGCAGATAATGGCCAGTTCTTAATTCGCAAACAGTGTCTGGTGCCCGATTAGAAATCCGCGGTTGCAATTAGACTAAAAAAGTTTTTTAGTTGCCGTTTGGAGAGAATAGCGTAAAAACTAAATAACAATGAGTTATCAGCTGTGCATGTTGTTGTGTCGATGCTTTTGATTGATCTCGCGAATGTATCCCGTTTGGTGCCATGTGGATGCACGAGAGGGTTGATTTTGCTAACATATTCAGTGTGTGGCACCCCAACTGCCTGTCACTTGCATCTAATCAACATGCAAAGATATTCAGAGCGAAGGAAAGTACAGTATGTAAAAGCGTGGAGCGGGCACAATGAACAGTCTGTGGAGTGACTGCTGCTGCAAAAAATACA